TCAAAATTACGACTAACACATCGACGATCGATAGTTCCTTACGGCCGTACACTATATTCGGCATTAAAAAGGCAAACAAGATCCGTCCACAAAAGTAATTTTCCCGTTGCGCCACGAATTTCCCGTGGATTCTGGTAATAACAAAATTTCGCGCGACCGCATACGAACGATAATATCATTCGGCAGGGAGCCGATAGTCCACCCCGGTTCAACGTCCCACAAAACACGAAACCGCGTAACATTTCGAATGCCATTAATCGAATTTAATTGGGTTTCAATCAGAAGCGGAATATACCCTGCGCCTCCATAATTGAAACTAGTTAATTAAACTGCGATGTGACCGATTAAAAATTTGATACTGCGTGTAGAAATCACTGGATCGAGAAGTTAAGCCACTTCTCGATTAATTATCGACCACGGTTCCGACAATGCGCTATTGCCCGTCTCCTTGCCGGCGCCACATTACATTTTCTCTCTCACGCGGGTACAATTAATTCGCGAGTAACTTTATACCGTCGCATTTCCGTCTGCCCCGGCGATACCGCGCTTTTATATCTTATTCCTCAACGAACGAAAAAAATAACACGTGTGTTTGTACTTCTATATGTTTAAATATACATTTATGTATTCCTCCCTCACGCGCGTGTGTGCATATGTGTGTGGTATACGAGTAACTTGGCGTATCGCGCCGCGAATTTCCACGGCCGCGAACCGCGGAGCGATCTCGTGCGCACGTTTCCGATGCTCTTCTGCAAACCGCGGATAAAATCCCCTGTTCCAGTTTTTCCACGGCTGCTAAATAAGGAACGCGACGCAAATAAAAGGAAAAGAAAGGCCGGGGCGGAAAGTGCTACGGAAGCAAAGCGGATTTCTCGACGGCGCAGGTCGAGGCCCGGTCGTCGGCGCATCGGGTCGCGTCCCGACGCTGACGTACACGACACCCGGGCGCACGCGAGCGGGACCGAAATTGTTTCGAAGTAAATGACCCGCGGGAACCTTGCGGCGGGCGAATTGTGTCCGTGCGCTTTAGGAGCGACCTCAAACCTCTGCCGGTTCTCGCTAATTCCTTTCGTGCATAATCATCGCCGCACAGATCGCGCGCGGGTATTTGTGACGGGAGAAATTTTACGCGGGCAGAAAACGCCGGGATTAATCTAATGAAATTCCCCGCCCGGGAGCCGGTTGTATCAACGTTAGCTTAGCGCTAACTTCGGTTAAGTAAATCTTCTTTCTCCGTCTATATCGCAGGTGAGACTACATAATCTAGGAAAGCGGCGGGGAGAGATTCGCTAATCTATGCTTACTCGACCCTAACTGTCGGCCCAGCGGACGGCCCCGGCCAGGTCGATAAGTCGTGAGCAGTGCGAGTGTCCAATGGCTGGATATCCGCCGTCGTCAAAGGTGCACCGATGACGGATGCGAAATAACGCATACAATAGACGAACGGCGGAACCGGTATCTTCGACGTGAATTTCAAGTAGCCGCTTTGTGCGGAACGGTCGTTTCTACGCGTGCGTTCCGTTGCGAGGAATAAGAAAGAGATACACGACATAATTCTGCGACGATGTCGCCGCGAGACCTACGAAAGACGAAATAGCGAAAGAAACTTTTCGTGATGCGTGCTCGGAGAGATGCGCTCCGCTCCGGAAAAATGAAGCGCACGTACGATACGGCAGCGATGACGACGACGTCCTATGATTTACGCGCGGCAGCGGCGTCGTTTACACCCCGCTGACGTCTAATCCGCTCCAGGAAGCCGCAGTGCAGCGCGATTGCGGTACCGGCGACGTAGATGCAGCCGCACCCCGTCGCCCGTAGCCACAATACGACGGACGGCGATCTGACGGTGAGTCTCGAGTTTGAATGCGCCCGTCCGCCCTAGATGGCTCCGTAGGGTCGTAAGAAATTCGCAGGGAATGTATAACCACGAGAATATCGCTTCCCCATGAGCAACGGGATTAATGAGACACGATGTAAAATAAATTCCGCGAGCGGGGCGGGTTAATTTACAATCCGATGCAACCTACAATTTCATTCTCGCTCACGGTCGTTTCTTTCCCTTTTTGACTTTTAAATTCGTCGAACTCGTCGACAAACGACGCTTCCGCTCAATGCTGAAAGCGCGCCGGTGCGATTTTTCACGAACGCAGCTACGGTAAAAAAGGAACGATTGTAACGGCAAATCAAGTTTCTGCGAATGTCATCGAAGCAATTGAAATCGATGAACACTGCGGTTTTTCAATTAGAGTTATTGGCGCACAGATTCACGCGCGCGCGCGCTCGGATGCGCGAGAGGGACAAACTGATTTACAAAATAATTAAATTCAGAGTGGTATATTCTTGGCGCTCAAGCAGGTCAACGAGCGAGGTCGTTATTATCAGCGGGTTTCGGCGTATCATAGAACGGCAACCAAGAGAAGCACATTGACATAACAGTCGAGAGAGACGCCTGAAATTACCGCCGCACGTTGCAACGGGACGCTAACTTCTCTACTAATTTATCTTTAACCCATTAAACCCATCCATTGTTAACAGAGATAAGACAGTTACAAATTCAATTTGCCCGATCTGTGCGAATGTTAATCAATCCTGGTTTCCCGAACGAGAATTAGGTTGATTATAAAATTAATAACGATCGATCAAGCCGCTGAAGAACACTAATGATACAACGAAGGCAATTTGCGAAACATATTCCGTTTTCTTTCCTGAGGATAACCGAATTTCGTTAATTAAGAAAGTGCACAGCCACAGCTGTGGAAACGAAAGTATAAATTCACATTTCGCACAAGAGCGTTAACCGTGTTTATGAGGCTCATAAGAGGATGCGAAATGAATATTCATGAAAATCGTTCGTCGGGGAAGTAGCAATTGCGGCTCGTTCCGCGAACGTTTCCCTTTTGCGTGCCTATTTAACTTAACGATCTATCTTCCTGCACGGCTTCGGCTCTCCGAAGATGAGCCGCGAATTTAACTACAGAACGATAAGTTTGCGCAAAAAATATCGAATACGCAGGGAAAATGCATATGTTAGGAAAAATAAGGTGTCCCAATTAGTTACAACGTAATCTTATCGTGAAAATAAATCAATGAATTAGTAATATATGTGTTAAGCTGAATGCATAAAATTTATTTTATTCGAACATTTGTGTGGTTCTAATTGTATTATATCTTTTTAATTTATGATAAGATTTAAATTTAATTCATATCTTCTCAAAAGTGACGGGAGTACCATTTAGTGACATATAATCTTGATATTGTCCTAATTTGTAAATATTCTTAATCGCCTCTCGACTTTGACACTACGATTTCAATCGCTTGAGATTAGAGAATAACTACAAAAAAATATAAAATAAACATCTCAAATTAACAGCTAACTTTTAAAATGTCGGCAACTTTTTATCTTCATAACAGATGTGATTATAATGATTGAATATTCGTATTTGATGTATTATATTGTTCGCAGATGCAAATACTCAAACATTAAGTGCCAAATGAAAATCTCAGTACAGATTGTTATTTTTATATTTGTATTTCAAAAATTCCCAACGAAGAATCAAAGCATGAGAAATGCTTCACGTGACAGTCTGCAATTTTCTTTCGGTGACCTTATTTCCTTCAATAACCATTCGAGTTTCTCCTCATGCCTCTGCCATCACAAGAAAGACAACCGTTGTTCTCCGACGAAGCGAAATCTCAACGGGTGTCTCGGTTGCAGCCATGTAATATGTATCCCTCCATCCGTATCGCGAGGTACGTCAAAGAATAACGAGGGACATGTCAATATCTCTCTCTCGTTTCGGCCTAACGCGAAGTACGACACCATTCTCGAGCTTGTAATGGTGCAAACACGCATGCGACTTCCATTACGTTTCACAAGACGTGCGTAAAAATAGTCTCTATCAATGTCTGTGTAACGGTATCTGTTCTTTTTTACGACAAAAGATCCAAAAAGCATATTCCCAAGAAACAAATAAACAAGTAAATGGAATTTTAAGAATTTTACAGAATTTTCGTTCGCATGATATACGTCAGAGAGATCAGCTTTCCAAAAGAAAGAAAAAAAAACAGTCACGAGGAACACGTTCGGAGAAATTGGTGGAATTTCCGCGCGGATGCAGCAAGCACAAGTTCGAAACGATACGGCAGGAAACGCAGGAGTCATACAGACGCGACTGCAGTCAAATTTAATGGCGCTATTTCCCGTGCCGCGGCGTACTTTCGGTCGAGTCGGGGCGCGGTTATAATTTCGGCGCGACGAAAAACGAAGCAAAGCTTGACCGGTAGTGCGCGGACTACCGTTATTACCGTGCGTTTCTGAAGTCGTAAAGCTCACCCAAGGAGCAAAAAGCACGAATCACTATACTTCGACTTCGCCGTCTTCGGACTTCGCGATTCGCACCGTCCCGATTCCGTGAGCAATTCCCCAGCGATAAGGGATGTTCGGCGAAACGTGTTCGTGTTTCGAACTTCAATGTGCTCTATGGCTCGTTTCAACTAAACAGCACGTACGTGACTGTAATTCATGAAAATGCACGTTGTAAACGGGGCGTTCGTCCAGAGTCTAGTTTAATGCGCATACCGGGAAAGATCCGGAAGAAAGCGAGCTTTTACAGATACGCACCTGTCTTTCGCGCATTTCATTTTGTATTTCTATCATTTTTATGTATTATTTCTCGCTGTGTGAAATTATGAAATAATTTTTGCTCCTCGTGGACACATAAATATATACATTTCCGCACTTATGGGCGGAGAAATGGGAAATATACAATCGTTTGAAAAATGTGCCAAGGAAACGAAAATACCGAGAAGCGTCACTGCGAAGCAGTTTGTTCCACGAATGAACTTTACGATTGCCGCGACCATGAATTTATGCAATTCCGCAGCGCACGCGTAAAGCGGACTATGAAACTGGCTATGTGCAGATCCAAACAGCGATAAAAATAAACTTTACGTAAAACAAACGATAACCTTCAACGGAGGGATACGTCGTATTGTCGTACCTGCGTTCTTGCGGGCTGGACGATGCGTGAAGCCCATAGTCACAGGGGTTTCCTGATACTCGGCAAAGCGATTGGACTCACCTGCAACAAAAAGCACAAGTACGATTTCGTTTAGAAATACATCGATAAGTGATCGTTTTGATAACGCGTCCAAACAATTATATCGCGCAATAAATGGACAGGAAAATCTCGCGGGTTGAGAGCGTATCGGAGAGGAAGAAACGTAGTTCTTGGTTCGTCTCGAGTTCTCGCTTCTTAAAACAACTTGCCATCAAGTAGGAATAAAAACAAAACGATACAAGTGCAAGCTGCAACGCGCGGCTTGGTGCACCGTGGAATACCTGCATCCCTGACCCACTTTCGCGTTCTTTAAGGTTACATAGCTACCCCATCGAACGATGACGTCACACAGGAACGACGTTATATCCGGGTGCTAGGGTGATCGACTTCCCTTCACCCGACTGTCGCGGTAATGGAAGACAAAGCAGCAAGGGTGAGTCAATCGACTTCTTTCCGACTTTTAACTGCTTTTGCCGGAATTTGGAGAGAAAAGGAAAAGTGTCCTTTCCATTTGACCCTCGTGTCTTTGCCCCTTTCTTCGAAGGACCATAATTTTTTTCCACCCCGTATCTTTTTACAACGTGGAAGGTATCTCTTCGTGACGCAAGAAAGCTTTTTTAACATAATTACGAGGCTAAGAGCAAAGACGAGTTACAGCCAATTTACACCGCGAATCATTCGTTACACTCAGCATACAAACGTGCGTATATTTTCAGAATGTTACGAAAGATATACGAAAGAGTGAGTTGGCCTTTGTGCCATATAAAGCGCTTAGATATAAAATTTTATGCATACGCAGTCACGAAAGAGGTGATCATAATCATCCATGCAAAGGTCGTAAAAAAGTAAGTGGCACGTGAGATTCAGTCTACTTGCAACCTTGACCTATAACCCAGCATTTATGAGGCTATGCTGATGCAAAATCTATAGATCTAATCCTCGTGACCGCGCATTTCGCCGCAAGATAATTCGTTCTTGAATCCCATTATTCGTAAATCTACGTACTAAGCATGAAATATGAGTTCAAATAAACATTCCAGACGAATGTCGAGAAATAAGAAACTGAATCGGCGCCACGGCTCTCTGCTTATTTATCATTGCTAATTTGTACAGCTAATTTACATTGTGGAGATCTCTGACTTATCTCAATTCAACTTTCAACGAATCTTTCCAGTTGACATTTTTCCACCAAATGTCCCGTCAAATTTAAAATTTTAACTATGTAAGTCGTATCGTGAAAAGTCAAACGTTGGAGGACGAACGACGAGAATTCCTTCCTGTGAGTTTATTTTTGCGGTTTCCAAAGTCTACTGAAACTCTGTTGAAATCAAAATGTTTCGGCGAAAATTGTTTTATCACTATCGTCGAAAAATTCTCAAAGAGCAAACAAAGCGGGCGGTGAGTTCTGCGAATTAAATAAAGATCACTAGAATTACACGCAATTCTCTTGTCGATCAGCAAATCGGATTTTATTAAAAATGGCAGGAAATATCCTATATTTGTACGAAAATTTCATGTGCTCTGCGCTGTATGCCAATAAAAATAGGAGTGAGTAGAAAAAACGTCATATAAAAAGCAAAAATACATTACTCAAAACGTTAAAAATGTCCATCGTCCTTCAAAAAAAAAAAAAAAAGAGAGAAAAAACACGAGAAAAATAACAAATTAAAAAACTGTAGCAAACAATATTCGTTCACAATATATGACTTAAAAATAATAGCCGAGCTCATATGTGTCTTAATTGTGAGTTTGCAAAAATTCGGAGATTGCGTTATTGCATTGTTCGATGTATTTTATCGGAATGCAAAAGAAAAGGCACGAATGCAATATTAAAAATTAGATTTCTGACAGGACAAAACACACAATCAAGAAGTAAATTATATTTAAGATTCAACTAACTCAGCTATTATCAATCGCTATTCTCGATTCAGCGACGCAGTGCGTCATCGCGATCCCTAAGTGACCTACAGACACGTAAAGGAATAAATCTCACCTTTGCCACGGACAAGAAGCCCGCTCGCGACGTATACGAGCGAAGGACAAATGCACCGAGAGCGCGAGGTTTAAAGGCGGCGTTTGCCATGCGGAAATATATTTATGGAGGCTACCTGAGATAAAAAAAGACGTAAAACGCGATAAAGGGAGAGAAATGAAGAGCGGAAAGGAGGGAATGGAAAGAGAGAGAGAGAGAAAGAGGGACGAAAGTGAGAAGAAAGGCAGAGGAAGAAAGAAAGAGCTGGGTTGATGCAGTCGGCCGCGAAAAAGCGTCCATCGTTCTCTAGCGAGATCCACTTTGAGGGGAAAGAAAATAGAGCAAAGTCCTGGCGTGTACCAACGGCCACCGTTCTTCTCCCATTTTCCGGCCCTATCCGCTGTTCTTCCTATCGCAACGTCGGCAAGTGGCCACCTGGCTACGTTACTCCATTATCCGAGAGGAGAGAAAAGCGCCGCGCGCCGGCGAATAGCAGCGCGCTAATTAAATTTTTCTTATTCGCGCCTGGAGTCGTAACATCTTTTGGATCCAGCACGAATGCATCGACCCAAATAGAACCTTTTACCTGGCGCACTGTTGTCAAGGCTATCTTTAGCGATGTTATGGCAAACGACGAGTCGTACGAGTCGATTTTCTGCTATAAATTTTCCTACCAGGGAGAGAGTGTATTGGCGTCGTTGTCGGAGTATCGATTCATTATCTGCATCTTAAACGGCGTTAAACGAAATTAAACGACCGCATATACTTACCCATCGCGCGGTCACCTCGGAGTTATTCTCGCGCGCGCGTACAATCTCGTAATCTCTTCTCTCAGCCCCGTCGGGCATTTATATATGCAAGAGGAAAAATTGAAAGGAAAAAGGTAAAAGCGGGAATTTATCGCGATAAATAGAACGAAAGGGAGAGTGAGAGGGCTCAATCGGATCTCGAACTACCAACCGCAAAACTAAGAGAAAAACGACGGTAGTAGCTGGGAGAAAATAAACGGCTAAGATTTATCGCGCTACAGCGGACTTTTTTCCCTCGTTCTTCTCAATCGGGCGAATCGATCGGGGCGTCCGTCCGTTATTGGGAGGGCATAATGCGATTTTACGACAGCGGGAATAAAAGGGCTTCAAAACGTCGTAAAGCAGGATCGTCCGTAGGATCTTTCTTGTCCGCGGTCTCACAGTTACGAAATCTACGTTCCCGTGCGTCCTCGATCAATCCGGAAGAGGCTTTCGCGATGGCCAATGTGCATCGATAAACTTCGAGTCTTGCGAGCGAGAGGAAATAAAAAGGAAGGAGAGAAAAGGGGAAGAAAGAGAAACGGCAAAAAGCGGAGCGTTACTCCGATCTCAGCGAATTTCCGTGCCTCGAAATCTCCCGCGCATCTCGGCACCTCTCATTGACGTGCAATTCAAGTCTCCAATGGGTCGTCAATGCGCGCTTGTCCGTGACACAATAATCGTCGGATCGTGCGGACCGACGAAGAAGAGAGATAGAAAGCAGTCACGAAGAGACGAGAGAGACGGAAGGACTACGCGCGGCTAGCATCTCGCCACTCGAGTTTATTTCGGGATGTCCTGAGGACGACGTCACGAGCCGACCAGAATAGCACGCATCTACGTCACGCCTGGGTAACCCCCGGCAAATTTCGGAGACAGACGGCAAGGTAGGCGACGCGACGGGCTGGACGAACGTGTCAACTGTTCGAACTGTCTCGCGGACTCGTGACGAGCACGTGAACCGTGAGCGTCTGACCCGGCACATATCGATGCCAAATTGCTCTGGAAACGCTTAATTATTGACACACCTTGCCTACGCTCAGTGCAGGACGATTGTACGAAAATTAATTGACTAATCGCGCGTAGTAACGTAAATAGGTCGGGAATGCAATTTTTATATCTTTTTTTATATATATACAGAAAATACTGCATTTAAATAAATATTATCTGTTTCGGATATTTCACTCAAGTTTATACTCAAGTTTATATATTCGCAAGTATATCATAGATTCATCACAAGTATCAAATTTATTCAAAATATATTCTGAATCTTAGTAAATTTAGTATACTTTAATCAAGAATATTAAATTAAAACATTAAAACTAAAACTTCGATTTATTTATATTCCAAATGTAACTGAATTTCACTTTTCTTTATAATATCCTTGAAATGAGAAAAAATTTTTCTTTTAAGTAAATAATAATGAGCTTTTTTAATATTTGTAATATTTAATGTTGTAATATTTGTAATGAGTATATTTTTAATACTGTATGAGAATATTTTTAATTATCAAGAAAAAATACTCTGGTCAAGACAACCATTTCTTAAAAAAACTTTCTTAAAAGAAGAAAAATAATCTGAGTAATTGCTTTTCCTCATAATACGAATAATATTTCTCTCTGTATATGCGTATATATGTAATTCTGCGAATTAAATTATGTCCAAACGTAACATCGTTCAGTTATGTAGATTCGAGAAGACATGAGCAATAAATGGGACGTGATAAACAGTAGTTCGTTGCCGTTTATTGACGCTCCAAAATTTCGCCAACCGTATGCAACCGCAAATCGACTTGACGCCATATGGAGATTATTCCATGGCAAGGTCTCATTCGTATTCCGTTAACCAGACTCACCGACATGATTCGTCTCGTTACGTTACGAGGGTACGTTACGTTGAGAGAAACGGAAGAGAAACGTGCTAGATGAGGACGACCGACTGGAAGGATGAGAAAGACTAGCAAGAAAAACAGAGAAAGGGGCAAAGAGAGGAAAAGGGTGGGCACTTCTCAGGTACTTTTCTAGGTACGCAGCGTTATTCAATTAACGGAGGTTACGCCGCTCGTAGTTTCTACCTTCATTACCTAAACTTCGTCTTGGTTTTCCAGATCTCTATTCCGGAGATGATAAGTCTTTTGGAACATCCGCGAGAGTGTGGCGTGTGATGATTAAAAAAAGCAACGTTGAAGCGGGCTGGAAAAAGCAACGCGCGAGGATCTCAACGTCGAGGAACGATCGATCGATCGATGAGAGGATTTCGTACGTACACGATTGCACAAATCACTCCTCGTGATTATTCGAATCGAAAAAAATACCTATAAATTCTCAACGAATCAATTCGATACAGGTACGTTGATGTAAAATAGATTGCACAGTCAATGTAAAATATTTAGCCAATAAGATTCCGTACTTAACGCTACTTATCGTTGTGAAGTTACTTGAAAATTCGAGAAATCGCTTTACGGAGAGACAGAGACGAAGCGAGGAGAAATTTAATATCGTTAAATATTCCTTGCGAGAGCTTGCTCCGACAAAGGGCTATTGAAATGACGAGAAACTCGCGAAATAAATCGACGGAACTCCGCTTAATTCTAAAATCAGCGACTCTCCATTGTGCGGAATTCTCTCGACCTTCGACGCAAACACGCGCTAGAGGCTGACCGATCTGAAACGCCGCCAACTGTTAATTTACGTAACACTGCCTTAGATTCGTTCCGAGGCGCGAGGAAAATAGTGGAAAATGCGGATTAAATTGAATGCGTCGCGAAGTAAGGATAGTTCAATTTCTCCGCCAATGAAATCCGATTGTTCGTTTCGATATTCTACGCGAAAGACGCTGCCGGGAGGCGGATTTTCGACGAGCGTTCCATATCAGAGTCGCGAAACAATCGACGCGCGTTCCAACGGCCAGCTGGTCCCCAATTAATCCGCTAATTCGACGTTCGGTATTGCGCGTCCCGTACGTGCCGTAACGAATTCCGCGAAGCCTAACGTGACCTTGCATCTAAATCATGCAAATTACGTTCGAGCATAGAAATCGAGATAGAAGTCGCATAGCGACGTCCGGCGCGTGCCCCGGCGCAGCCGAATTCTGCATATTGTGACCGCTCGTAAATCTCTCCGTTGCGAAACGGTCCACGGGTACCACGTGGCACACGACTATTTCATTATCGCTGCGGAAGAGGCGATTCGGCTTCGCGCTGTATCAAGCGCGTTTGACTTCACGATCGCTCGCACTGCAGTCGTGATCGATGCGGCCAGTCGAACGAACCTTCAGCGCTACGATAAAAACGATATTGCACAAAAACGAGCCGATCCGTCACGCAGCAGCGTTGAAGAACAGAATGTTCTTTTCACGACGTCGATTCAGTTACGCGTACGAATAATTTGACAATTTTCTGGACTTCCTAAGTCGGTCATTTTCGCATAATATCACACCCAAGCGTATAACTTTTCTGCAGTTTAATTGTTATAATTGTCTTTTACATTATAGCTGAAAGAACAGGCCGCAACTGAGAAAGTTGGGAAAATTCAACCAGAGGGACGTATTGCGATGGAATAGAATTTAGATTGATTTACCCTTCGCATTGCTTGATGACTGATGCTCCTGATTTCCCGACATTATTTTCCGTTGCAACATATACACGATGACCCACACGACAGATATCACCGGCGGCCACATATCGTAAACGTCGCACACCGTGCGGATTAACACGCGTTTGTTTATCCCGCGATAACAGACCAGTTCATAGCTTATCGCCGGGAAATTTGCTGTGAAATCACGCGAGTTGAAATAGAATGTGCCGTTTGCACGATGCGCATTGCACACCCGACATGGCGATTCCGCGCTGTTGAAAAATCGCGGGGAAACTCAAGCTCGATCGGAATAATCGAGATCATCGACCGTATGCGGATACCAGACGGCTTAATGAATCACTCCGAAGGAAACGTCAGCGCGAAGTGTTGCCACAAGTTACATACGAGTAGTTACATTCACGTGCATGTGCATCAACGGCATCATCGAAACAGCAGCGTCAGCTTGTTACGGTGCGAATGGCATGTCTCCAATAAATTTGAAAGTCCACTAACTATCGTTTAATGGCGAGCACCTCGCGCTTCGGCGCTTCGGCTGGGAAGAGACGCCGATCAAAGCGCACAATTCTTGAAATAAGTGTCCTCTAAAAAGGGGCCAGTGGAAATACGCGGGGAAAAAAGCGGAGTCTCGTGCGGTCACGACACGATCCCTAAAATTGCACGTCAAGACTGCGTCATGATTTCCGCGCCACTCCGCGCCTCCCGCGAGTCGTCCTTCACCTCAATTTTTAATCCGAGACTACCGACGGTACATATTCCCGAAATTAGCGACAACAATGGTGCGTCCTGGCGATCCGCCAAGCCGGCTCGTATTTATTTGTCGTACTTATAACACGTGGTGTGTCGCGGTTCGACGACACGTGACACTCGGAGATTAAGCGAATGGTTCGTCGATTTCCACATCACAGTCGTCGACGAAGATAAGTCGCACTCTTCCTCCCCCCCTCCCCCTCGCTCTCTCTTTCTATCACATTCAGCGAGACGAATTCTCGAGACAGATCAAAGGATTTTCACGGCCGAGAAAGCGTTTTACGTGAAAAAAGAGCTCAGTCACTTCATTGGCCGCGCTAAACGACACACGCGTGAGCACGTTTCGAGATTCAACTGCTCCGTCTTGTCCTAAATTTAACCTTGTCGGCTGTGTCCTACATTAGAAGGATTTGTACATGTGCGTGTAGACGCGTCGATGTGCACGTTGTTCGTGTGCGCGTGACTTTAATGACGTCCGCGACCGTCAGACCGATGTGTGTTCTGTGTGAAACGGAAATCGACGTCTGCGCCGAGATTGTGTAATTTTACTCTTACAGGTATGGTACGAACATCGGACATTCCTCACGGTTAGAATTGTAAAGACACCGATTTATCGTTACAGAAATAAATTTCAAGCGCATACTCTCAGCAATAATACACACACGACACGATATCTCTAAAATACTGAAATAAAATATCGAAACGTTTCGACAATATTCACTCTACTGCCAGAACCACATTCTAGTTTAACCATTACTCCACTTTAAGCGCTCTGTAATTATAGCACGATATGCTTCTCGAATAAGATCTTGTGTAAAAATAAAAAAAAACGTAAATAAAGAGGTCCCTAAATATAGAGAACGTCCCGATACGTTGACCGATAATAATTCCTCGCCTTTGTCTTCTCGATTGCGCGCTTAACTTTACATCCATTTTTCCTATGATAAATGTATCGCGAAAGTGAAACGAAATCGACGGTCCTGTGTACAATTTGTTACACGAACGTAGGTGCAGTACGGGGTATGCACATATATATAAACACACACGCGCACATACACAGCGGGAGCTAACAAATGAGTGGCACACGGTCGATACGCGAACGTGCACCACGTGGCGCACAGAAACGCTCAGTGGACCGCGGTCTCGAGACACGAACTATCGATACTAATTGGCAGCCGCGACTAGCATACGACGCCAAATATATCGGAACCAGACTGTAACTCAGTGGCGGTGGTTGAGCCAATAATAATTGTAGTGATATGTGACTAACTAACCGACTTAACGACGATGCGAGAGTCTTCTTTTACAATCGAAACAATACAATCGCTTTTATTAACCGATACCGTGCTAATTAGATGAATCGATATCATACAGATCATTTCTCTGCACCTTAAGAATTTTATCGCGATATTTATAAACACGAGGGAAATGTATTATTTGCCGCGTGTTTGCGATATAACGCGCATATATTTGATTTCGATGAACGCGTATTACAATACACGTGAATAAATGACGAAGTTAATATCGATGTATCGATACGGTAGCACGATCGAAGATTATCCTGCCGTTGCGTGGTACTGCGCTATTGTTAATAATTCGCCGCCGTATACGAAACCCAAATGAGTTCACGCCCGCATACAGGATTCGCAGAGTGCATTATTCGCTTGCAAACGGCTACAAGCTCACCGGGACGCGTCGTCTGTGATATCTGCGACATGAATAATTCTATTGACTTCGCCGTGCTCCGCCTTGATATTAATCGATACAAGTCCCTTCCGCAAATGCGTCGTCCATTAGCGATCGAGGTGCGATCGCTAATTCTCACACACTGCTTCGTCTGCAACGCGCATTCGCCATTCAGCTTTACAGGGGGAGGTACTCGAAATGTATCAACGTCAATTTCGGCGTGGATCGAGTGAGTTACGAATCAGCTCGGAAAGAAGGACACGTGTTCGTTGTGCGTGTTTTGCGCGACAGTAAAATCCTATCCACTTTATTCTACTCGAAATTTAATAATAATAATAATGATTTTATTGGATGTTACAAAGTTAAAATTTAATATAATTTGTAATATATATCTTCATGTATTTTTCTTGTAATTTATAATTTTTCCCCCTTGAGGGAGTATTCCAGACACTCGTTTTCAAGCTGATTTTTGAAATTAAAACAAGATAAACTGTTGAAATTATAAAGCTGGAATTTTGCATTGGGATATTTGTTCATATTTGGAGTAACACTCCAACTTTTCGTAAGTTATTTGTTTGAAAATTATACAAGCTAGAGATTCTCGCGCAAGCCTATTTACACGAGTTTAGATATCGTCGGAACGTTCAAGAAGTTAAAGTATGAACATTTTTAACGAAAATTTAGATGATAGCTACACTCATATAGATTACAAAAAATGTGTTTATATGTTCATTCCAGGCAATTAAGGTAGCTGGCTTATATAATTTTTAATAAAATGACATAAAAATTTGGAGTGTTACTTCAAATATGAATAAATATCCATGTAAAACTCCAGCTCTATAGCTTCAATAGTTTTTAATTCCCAAAATACATAGTATTTTAATTCCCAAAATTAAGCTTGAAAACGGGTGTCTAGACTAGAATATCCCCTTAAGAGAGGAATGAACTCTGCTTCGTTAAAAATTGCCGAATTATTTGATTGATTTCACTTTACATGTAAAATAGAATCAAACGCGTACATCACAAAACGATGCAGTCGACAAAAGGACGAATTTTAGATTTGTGTCTTCGTCTAACGATTATTTATATTCTACCGCTGTTAATCTACTTCTGAAACGTATCGGATTATGCAAACGCGTTGACCTTATTATGCCACAAGCCCGAGAGAGGACCGGCACTTTCGACCATCAACTACGATCACCTCCTCCTCCTCCTCAACCATTTTGCAGTTCGATCAAGGAAAGAGAGTCTTGCCAAGAGCTCTATACGATAATGCCGGAACATGGAAAACCCTTCCCCCTAACATATCGTCGCCGGTGCGCCTTTCAACTTAACATCCCAGTCAGTTTGTCGACTTTTCAACATGCGTCGACTTTGTGCGCACTTTTCTTCCCGACGCGGTCGACTGCCTTATCGAGTCCCGTCACGCCGGCGTAATTCGTCATCGCGTATGGCGCGCACAGGTACATAAATTATTACTACTCGATGCAACTTTCCGCGTCATAAAGCATTCTTGATCGGTAAATTGAAATCCCCCTTGTTAAATATGCGCCCTCGAGTGTAAAATAAAGCAGCTGACTTCACTTAACCCTAAAACCCCGGGCTCCCCTACTGACATTACACCGCTAGTAAAAGGTAACACGTCTCTTTTTAGCAAACTCGACAGTTCTTAAAGTGAGTTAGAAGATTTATTTTTTAGGGAACAAATTATATGTTGAATTATGAGGAAAAATGTAAGAAAGCATAATAGAAACGTCATTACGATCATGACGTGGACACAATATTCGATTTTGCTGCGCGAATATTACTCTCTTATCCGTCCACCGGCTACCGTGTTATCTCTTGAGCCTTCGGGCTAATTGTTATCCGATTTGCAACACAGATCGGAAATCGGCGCGAAATCGCAGCGTTGCGGACGCGCGGCTAATCGCGTTGCACGTCCGCGGCCGAAATTAATACCGCGAATAAGCGAGCGAGCGCACGGAAAGCGGTGTGGAAAGGGATAGGGAAGTTATGAAAGGCGGAACGACGCGCATACTTGCTGGCTTGAACGAACATTAACGAGGTCGGTTAACCCCGGCGCGATGGCCTGACGGTAGAAACCAATGCGATGAAATATCTGCGAACTCCGCACAGCCGGAAGCCACCGGCGAATTGTTTTGGCGAAACTCCCGCAGTCAGGCGTACAGGTGCGCGTCTGCGAATAGGTGTGTATTCCTGGGGCGCACAGGATCCAATTTAACGCGTCTCCTCCTTCTCACCTCTCCCTTCTCCCCTCCTCCCTCTTCGCCGCAATGTCGCTTTCGCATTTATTTTAATCCCGTGGATTAGCCCCCGCCGTGTTCGGGCCGATGCATCACTCCGGGACGGCTTCGAAAACTCCCTAATTAGGTTTTAATTGAGAACGATCGAAAATCGTTTGAGCGCACAGCCGAATCGCCGATAACTTCAGCCACGGTGGATTTATACCGTGAGATCGATTTGTATCAGAATCGATTTGTACCATACGCTCCGTCGCGCCGGTCAATTCATCGCGAAGTGTTTTTAATTGAAAGAAGTTCCAAGTGAATTAATTAACGCGACGTTGTATCGTGTGATAAGCTTAATGAATTCGTGCGAATATAGATCCGAAGAGGTTTTTCACTCCGTTTTGTTTTTTTTCTTTTGTGCATTTCGTTCCGACGTGATCGATATAGAATTTCGCGCGTGCGATTTCTACTCTCCTGCGACAGAGAATTACCTCTCAAAGAGACGGATGAGGCCGATATTAACGCGGATATAATGAGGCGGCGAGTATTTTAATTTATCATCCACAGGGGGATCTCGCTGAAATGTCTACTTTCTTCGACGGATTAAGAATAGAGCAAACGTGCCAGGCCGATCGACGATATCATCACTGAGGACAATAGTGACGAATGTCGTCGAGGGACACTGGATATAACGAGTGCCGTCCTACATATAGACGGTATATAGCAGCTGCTGTTTGCGACAGCAGGCTGCAGTAGAGGTTTATTATAAAGCTCACCGAATTATGCTATCGCCGTGCGATGGAAACGCGATAAGCCGGAGTTTCATTGTTGGGAACGTTACAGGGTCTCCCTCGGACTC